TTTTATATTTATTATAACAAGGCAAGACTTCATGGTTAACAAAAAAAGCAATACTTGGGCGGTGTTTTTTAAATCTTTGTAACAGCATATTTCTATTAAGCTGAACTAGCACTTTTTTAAAAGCTAAAAGTTAAGTAACAGTAACATCATAATATGTTAGCAAAACCTTACACAGTAGTAGATACTTCTCAAGGACACAACCAGTGCACCCAGAACAATGGTTTCCCTGTCTTATCTTACTTCTTGCTGTAGCTGATTTTTCAGCACACAGACACAGAGATACTTGCTGCTTTTAACTCAGAAAATGCTTAATACAGTAAAAATGATTACTTGACACAAGCAAAGGCTTAGCTATCAATCTGCCTTGTGGTCAGCTGCATTGCTAGGCCACAGGTCATGCCTTGTATTCAGCTGTAAAGCTAATACTTCCTAATAATCTAAATTATTGTTAACCTAACAGTATGCTATCAGAAAACTATTCTATTTCAGGGTAATAACAAACCTGCGCACTACATACCCCTGCAGTGTGGGGTACTGATTCTGAACCCTGCTTTGGGAAATCCTGGATCTGCCCCTAACCAAAGTAGTAAGACTGAGCTACAAATGTAGTGAATATAAGCATTTGGGTGGTATACCATGTACCTTTTTTGACTTTTAGAGAGCTCTTAACATTTGTGAACTGCTGGCCTAAATTACATTACAGTAAGAATTCTGGTATGTGGAAGCAGAATGGACCCTAAGTCTATGGCCCCTATGAAAGGGATTGAAGGAGATATCATCAGCATTTCTAGTTTGAATGTCAAGGGATTAGAAAAGTATTGAGAAAATAAACTTTTCCCTTAATATTTCATGCCAGGCTGCAGTTCAATATTGTTCCATCTGTCCCTGGCTGTGGTAAAAAACAAAAAATGTACTTTGATTTTAAGGAGAGCACAGTTTGCCAAGAAGAGTATGGTATTGGTGGGATTGTGCCGGATAAAAAAGAAGTAAGGGTGATCAGCCATAAATAGTTCACTAGATGGCAAGGATCTTTGGTTAATGACTGCTCCTGTGCCTGCTGCTGCCTCAGTGCCCTCCTCGTTAACCTCCACATAGGCCTTGTGAACAGCCTCTGACATATTTAGAGATTTTATTTCTGATATTGCAGAAAGATTGGCTTTTAACTCCGCAAAGACGTCAGTCATCCCCATTTCTTTTAAAGATGATTTGAGATTAAACATGTCCTCAAGTTTGAACCTTGGAAGATACACCTCCACTTTTCTCTCCATCAGGCTTTCTGAGGAGGTCCAAAGTGCTAATTTCTCAGCAGTCATTGTCCTTTCAATCTACAGGAACAAAAAAGAGAGATCAAAATAAACTATAGAGGAATGAGAGATTATTAAAATTTTAGCTCTTCATCCAAATTGAATTCAGATAGAAATGAAAGGCAGGATCCATGCACTTATGTATTATTCCACAGGATAATGTCTCTACCTTTTTCAGGCCATTATCTCTATCGGTGATGTCATCTCGTAGCAGTATGATCATACTCAGTGATTTTTTATTATAAGGGAGTTCAAGAATTTGAGCGTTGATCTCTTGTATGTGGGCCATTTTAAATCTACCTTGCTGATACATCATCTGCACAGATTTTTTGTCATTCTAGTTAAAAGAAAATTGTAGGTAAAAAAATAAATAAATAAATAATAATAATAATAAAAATATATATATATATATATACACACACACATATATATATATACATACACACACACACATATACATGCACAATTAATAGATAGTCTTCCTGTATGTCAGCATATGATACAATGTCAGTGTTCTATATTTATCTCTTTCACATTTGCAAGATGATTATCTCTCATTGATTAAATAGTTCACAAATCATATTTATCTTGTTTAATGAGAAAGTGTACATCATGGCATCGTAGAGAGCTGTCAGAGATACAGCTTAAAGTGGAATTATTATTATTTGACAAGCAGAGGGTAATGCATACTGGACAAACCAAGACAATGTAGTATGTTAATGCTATGGACTTTGATTCCTAAGGGCCAAGGGCCAGTTTGCATTTTGTGAACCCTAATGCTAGGCAGGATAGTCAGTACTGAACTGGTAAAAGGCAGTCGTATTACAAGAATCAGGCTGATTTGTTCCAGTGCAAAGGCTGTACTTTGATTTCATTTGCCCTGATGTAATTCCAGGGTAGCTACATTGATCTTTTTTTGGAGTTACCCCCAGATCTATAATCCTGTAACTGAGTGTGACAGGGGGCCTGCTTAAGGCCAGGTCTCAACATGGGCCCACCCCCTTGTCTATGTGGGACAGTCCACCCAATCTTTCCTGCCGCGACTTGCTGTTTTATAAACTGGTGTAAAATGTGAGAGGCTGCTCATTTGAATGCCCTGAGGCCAGGGGGCATTGTACACAGTTCCATACCACTCCTACACGGTGTCCAATGCCTCGCAGATGGCATCATAAGTTGATCATAACTCCGGCTCGAGGCTGAGCCAACTCAGCCCCTTGCTGGGCCTCTCACATTCTATTCGCGCGCTCTGCCCCGCTCACAAGACCTCATTCACTCCGCCCCGTCTCACAGGGCCTCCTACATACTGCTCCTCATTGGGCCACTCTCAACTCGCCCTGCTCTCCCTAAGCAACGCCCCTGGGCCATCAGGCTTACCTACTCCCACGCTGGCCAGTGCACAGGCAGCACTTTCGGGTCGCTCAAGCGATCCCTATTCTACAAGGCACTGACCTTATGCCCTGCCCTGGGTAGAGCTCGGCCTCTAACCCCTCGCTGGGCAACTTACTCCTGTTGTCCCTCACATGGGGGCTGGCCCATGTGCTGCCCTTCAGGCTTCTCCTGCAACCCTACTCAGCCCTTCAGGTCACCCTATGCAACCCTACTCTGTGCCCACCAACACCCAGGCCTTCAGGCCACAATGGCGCACCCTACTCTGGGCGGGCTACACGCAACTTCTGTCCCACTCACTGGGGCTGCTCC